AAAAAAAAACCCCCCCCCCCCCAAAAAAAAAAAACCAACTACAGAAAATGCAAACTTGTTTATGGCTATCTTTATACATGAAAAAGCATTCTTTCAGGGCAAAAACAACATTTTTCTCTAGTGTAGGTTAACTTTATATAACTATTCATCTTTGACAAAGCCCTGCAACTGAAAATGAAAGGCCTGTATTTCAAGAAAGATGTGTTTCTAAAAAAACACATTTTGGAGCTATTTTCTGAGGGAATGGCAGCAACACAATTCTCAACAGAAGAACACTCCCACAAAGTACCTCTTTGTAAAAATCTTGAGGCTATCAACCACCAGCTGTCCACTGGCATTACCTAAAAACCAGAACTTCATGTCACAGAAGAATGAACTTTTTCTTTAGGTCAACATTAAGATTTATTGGCACTCAGGAGGGTATACACCAACTTCAAGGTAAAACAGTTTGACACAAATATCTGAGATAACTCTATCAGCACTGTATTTCAGCTACTCCAACCTGCACTGGCTGCTCTTGTCTGAAGTCAGTGACTGCATGATTCAATAGTCTGTGACTTACTGTGAGATGTGAGTTATTGGGGTCAGCAATGTCTCACCCTCCAGGTCAAGCTCATCTGCAAAGCTGTTGGTCCTGATGAAGGGTCCTGTGTTCACATCTAAGAACCCAGGACTTTTTTTCACTGTGAGGAAATATGTAGATAAGGGTTAGGGCAACAGTGTGTAGCTGTTTTTAGAAAGGCTGTACAATACATTTACTGTACATAAGAGGAGATAAATGGCCAAATAAAAGAAATTACTTAAATACAAATAAGAATTCTGTAAGTAGTTGGTATATAGGACAAGACTGCATTCAAAGGAAAATAAGATATGGAAATATTTTTATATGTGAAAATTTCAGCCTCTGGTTATGCAACATGACAATGTCAAATCCTATAACAGAGGAAAAACTTCTTCGCACAAAAAACTCTATTTCAGGTACTTGCTTCAGGATTTTATTGGAACTCAGAACCATCTGTGCTAAAATTATTATTATTCCAGAGAAAAGTTCTGGGGAAGGGGAGGGAAGAAAACCCTATAGCTATTTGTGGATATTCCTCATATATGAGCATTTAGACATTCAGGTGCTGGTCCATGCTCAAGGGATTGTATGTACATTTTGCATTAAAAAGTAAGTGAATAAAAATGTAAACATTATTGGGAGCGAAGACAAGAACCCAGGATTGCCCACTCTCAGGTGAATGCTTTCACTAACGGGTTACTAAGTCATGCTTCCTCTTGCTAGCTCTCTTTTTCTGGCCCCATGAATCTTGCCCTCTTGACAACACAGAGATCCAACTTTAGCAGGAGGGGTTGAGGGGCCTCAGCCTTGCCTCTATCCTGTTGAACAAGAGACTTTCTGGAGAGACAGAAGAAGTGGATCTCAGCCCCGCTCAGGCTGAAGGATCCCATAATCCAAGTCTTCCACTCTCTGGATAAGTGCCCTAACTCTGAGATAAAAGGGGGTGACACCACCAACACTATTTGTTAATGAAAGTGCCTATGACTTCTGTGCTCTGACCTCCTCTCAATAATCAGTGGGAAGGATGCTTAGTATAAGCTTACCTACTGCCCTGGACACCCCAGAGGATACAAGCACTGGGGCACTTTATTTATGAATCCAAAATAGGATTAAGTGTGAAATACATGCTGAGATACCAGCCCTGTTAAGATTGTGGTGCCATTGACTACTTGTAGTAGCAAAACTGTTGGCACCTAAACCACTTAGGCACCTATGAATTTTCAGTCATCTGACTGGGGATTCTGTGGCTCACTTTCTTAGACTTGGATGACCTAAGTCCCACGTAAGTTCTCCTTTAGGCACTTTAAGTGCTTGTTTAGACGTTTCCCCTTGGCTGATATTCATTGGTATTGGAAATACCATAGACTGGTCATTGCATCCATATAGCAGTATACATGTATACATCACACAGGTAATAGGAAACAACAAAAAATAAAACTACATAACTGTGTTTACTGTAACTAGGGGTGTACTTGGTAGCTGTGCTGGACCAACACAGCTACCAAGTACACCCCTGACGCATGGAAGATGCAGAATTTTAGCCAATTTTGGATTTTAAACTTAATTGTAGAACAACAAGGAAGTTTTTTTTTTTTCAATCTCCCTGCCTGCCATATGACACCTCCAGGGAAGGAATTCTACTCAATCAACACATCGAAGAGGTACTCAGCACAGCTCACAAAGACACTGTCATAGATCCAGAGGGACAGTCTTCCATCTTCAGCTCCCCCTGTGCAAAAATTAAGTTTATTTCCTACCTGCGGGGACTTTTTACCATCTTGTACCATCTACACTTTTCCCCGAGCCTGATGAAGGGATGTTGATCCCGAAAGCTTGCAGAAAAGGACAATTTTCTTGGCACTTTCCAGTTGGTCTAATAAAAGGTATCATTTTGGAACCAAGAGTTCTAGTTTTTTGTATGTCTTTACTGTAACTATGTATTTACTGTTAGCAACATTGACTGTGAGCATATGCTGGTATTTATGGTGGCAGCTTTTCAGCAATCCTAACACTATAAAATAGTTCTTTTTTAAAGATCCTCCACTCAGGCTTATCTGTGTGCTTTTTTAATTACGACAGTAAATAGCACCTGCCCAAAATAAGATAACATACAAAGTACAAGCACAAAACAGAAATCAATAATTAAACTACCTTTGTAAAGCATTAGACAATGGCAATAATTCTACTATGTCTTGAACTCAAGAGTTCATGAACATTTAATGAAATGCTTTGACCTTAGATGAGTTGCAACACTAAATTAACATAGTTTACATTATATTTGATAACTGTGCAACCCTGACTATTGTGTTCTTAGGACAAGCAAAGAGGTACTGGGAGGGAACAATTAAGTAGCTGGGCATGTTATTCATAAGGGGCATGTCTACATGAGACATCTACTGTGGAATAGACTAATTAGCTCTGCAGTAAACACTGCATGTGTACACATGCACCCCTATAAGGCTGTAGGAAACTAATTAACTCCACAGCAGAATAGTATTTGTAAATACAAGTAAATACTACCCTCGTGCTCCAGCCCAATGGGGTAGCATCTGTGCATGTGCTGCTGTTGGTTGAAAAACTCTGCAGCAGGATAGTGCTTGTAAATACACACTAGAGCGTCCTTGCACAGCCAGACCCTCCACAGCACATTGAGCTGGCCAGAGTATCCCAGGGCTAGAAGGCTGACCCCAGGGCCCTGTGTCAGCTAGGGCTGCTCTGACCCAGCTTAACATGCTGTGGTCCTGGGTGCATGTTCAAGCAGTGCAACCTGGAGCAATAAATTCTGGAGCAATAAGCCCTGGAGTTTATTGCTTTGCATTAATTGCATGCATAGACTCACCCAAGGAGCATTATCCTACTCCTAACAAAATTAGTAGAGGTTATGCAATGGAAGCATAATTAGGAATAATAAAAAAAAACTTTAAAAATGCAACAAAGTTTTAGTCAGGTACTAGATGACTTCAAAGGCACAAATGCAGTCAGAATTTTACAGATGAGTAATCAAGTAAAAATTGTGATTACATCATCAACCATATGGCTACTCAAAATAAAAATTAAGTAAACTGCTTTTTAGTAATTGCCCTGTGAGAACAGGGATCCTGAAATCACAGGATGAAAAAGAATTGGGTAGAACTATCCCCAGGATATATAATTTTACCTTAAATTAGGAACTCAATTAACACAGTCATGGCTAAGAGCCAATTTTAACAGTATTGGAATGAGAGTTCTATAGCAAATTATAGTAAATTCAAGCATCTGCTGTTATTTTTCTGAGTAATATCATCTGTTGGATTAATCACACATTGCTGCATTCCCCATCCATGATAGTGGTTATGAAACAAACAGCAGAAGAAGCCAGCTTAAGACATGAAACAAAATGACTTTAAAGGGCCTCATATAACTTCGCTAATCAGGCTTCTTTGGCTTTTGCTAAATAAATTCTGAATGTTCAATATTCTGCCAGATGCAGACAAAAGCCAGGATCCTAAAAGTCTCTTTCCTCATTCCATACATAGTACATGCTTCTCTGAACATATTAGTCAAAGAAGAGGTGCCACCTAGCCATGCATTCCAATTATGAATGGCAATAACACCAAACACGAAACCACATGACGTGCTTACCAAGCACTCAAAATTTTCTTTTCCTCATCTGAGGGATGGTATGTGGGAAGTCTTGAAAGAGCTGTTATTGGGTTGTAACAATCATTCTTTTGGTGCTGAAGGTGGGAAGGGCACAGAAATGATATTTAAAAAAAGAAAAGATGAAATTTAAGCTGAATCCAATCCAATTTGAAAAATCTCTGATAGTAACAAGAGAGTTCGCCAGGCATTATATATATTGCCCCCTTGAACAACTTCTGGGTTCACCACTGAGCATGTGGGCCCCCCGCCACCGCACTCCTGTGGGACACTCTATCCACCTCACCATCACAGCGTTCACGAGCCATGCCTGGTACCTCAAGGTATGTAGAAAAAACATTTAAAGCTGTGTCTATGGCAAAATCGCTGATTCTCCAAACCAGTATCGAATCTTCAGATTCAGATTCAGCCAAATCGAATCAGGGACAGTGATCCAAATCAACAAATCCAATCACTGTCCCAGATTTGAGCAAAATCCAAATCTGAATCGAATAGGGACCGCATCGCACACCCGTAATATATGAAGCATCTGCCTACTTTTTGCCTTGATGTGCTAGTAGTCCCCCAGGGTTACTGTGTGGGTAATCTTGGGCAGCACAAGGGCCTCCCTCAGCATTCTCCTATCTCTGTGTTCTTTAACATGCTTTCTGTGTGCAGAACTGCAGGGAGAACCACTACCAAAGAGTTTCTGTGTTTCGCACTCACCTGTACAGGCAGGAGAGGGTGGGGAGTGGGTCACTGATGCCCCCCACCCCTGGCTCCAATGCTCCCCTGCTTATATAGTACTGGATGTCACATATGACACCAGGTATAGATCAGCTGAGGTTTATTCACTCCCTTGGGCAGAAAAACCTGAAAGGAGACTGACTCCTAGAGTCACAAACTCCGTCCCAGGCTATTCCAGAAACAGTGGAAGATGTATTGCCCCTTATTCTAGGCTCAATTTTCCAAAATCTTCACTTTTTATTTTTAAAAATCTTACAAAAATGTTAGTGATATTATTTTGGGGAGGGACCCATTTTTGATCGGCTCTATAGTTTGCAAGCAATTTTTATATTGAATAAATTCAATGATAGGTGTCACGTTTTTGAAAATGTAACAAAGCTGGACAAAAGCAAAATGTAAAGAGCAACAACAAAAAGGCAATGCTGTATTTGCAAATTTTTCCTGTTTTTTTTAACCAGGTCTAGCTAAGATGTTAAAATTGTGAAACAGTAGGATAAAGCTTGGCATAACTATTCCCATGTAACTCAGCAGAAAAAATAGGACTGCATGTAAAAGAACAGCTTTCCTCCTCACAATGTCTGTGTGAAGAGATACGGATGATGGAACCAGAAAATCAAACCAATGCTTCAAACCACTTCAAAACAACACCCACAACCTTAGCCAAAGTGAACCAGAGTGCTGCACATCTGAAAAAATGCAATTAACTGCATTTCAAATATTGTATTAGTTGTTCATATTTGGGTAGCTCTTGGCTCCAGCCCAGGCTACAGGTATCAAAACGCAACAAACAGTAGGTATTTTCATGGCATTTCTGGTATATCCAACATTAAGGAATATTGGAAATCTTTCTAAAAAGTTTTTTCTAGAAAAAAAAGAATTTCAGACCTTTGAAGGTCAGCTAAAAATAATTTTAAAGACCATTAGAAAGGTTTATCAACATCAAAGATTACTCTTCTCTGATCAGACATCTTCCTGCTACTTATACAATGTTTTACATCTAATGTAAACTTTTACATCTAATGTAAAAAAATAATAAACTCCCCAACTGATGGACTTCTGGTAGCTGTCTTTGAGAGGTATTACTATCTATGAATATGTTTAAAAAAATAAGACATGTTTTTTAGAAGAATTTTTTATGGCATCATGTAGCACAAAAGTAATAAAGACTAGAAAAGACAAGGGACATTTCATTTAAGTCATTATACATACTATGGCTGAAAGATTTTCATTGGGGTCTGCCTCCCTACATGTCACATGATTTGAAATCCAAGCATGAGACTCAGAGCGTGTCCAGACGAGTGCATATGTATGGTTTCTGGTGGCTCAAAGCTATTTGAGGCACTGTAACCCTCACACAGCACATGTGCCCCATCTGCCACATGGGAAGATCCCAGTTTCAAAAAAGCCACAGAAAAAAAGTAGTGTGGCACATGCAGCAGCAGTGCATGCCGCCAGAACTGGAGACTGGCCATCCAGAGCCATGCTTTGGCCGCTGACCAGGCTCTGTGCAGCTGGATCAGAACCACTGCTGCCGCAGGAGGCCCCCAGGATCCAAGATAAGGCTGCTGGGGCAGCACTTGTGCCGACCCCAGCCTTCCCTACCCCCACTCAGCACAAGTTGCCATGTGCTGGAGCACATGTGCAGGGGCATGCCCTGGGGCAAAAAGCAGCAGCTTAAGTATGTGCCATGGGAAACGCACATCCCTGCATGTGCACACTCATCTGGATGCACTCATAGAGGTCTTTTTCCAATAGCTGAAATCTTTCCCTTGAGCATGTTTTTTTCATTCCCCACCCCCCCCCAACAAAAAAAAAAAAAATTCATGGAAAGTGTCTACTTTCTACAAAACATTTCAATTTTTGGTTAAAACACTAAAGTTCAGAACTCTATATTCTCTGCATGGAAAAAAGTTTACTTCCACTCTACCATTTTGTCAGACATAGCAAGCAAACTCCAAACTGCAGTGCAAGGATTTAATTACTGGCAATTGCAAAAAGGACAGAGCATTGAAATACGTGTTTTACCTGGAGAAGAAGGAGCACTGGAGGACTGTTGCTCTGCAGAAAGTGATGCCCAGGAATGCTGACGGTCTGAGTCATAGGAAAGATGTACACAACAAGAGTCAGACAGGAAGGAAGGGGAAAAAAAGAGACAGCTGGAGAGACATTCACATGCCTTTAATTCAAAGTCTGTGTTGGGTCTGTCCTCTTTAAAATTAAAAAATAGAAAAATTGGGAAAGAAACTTTTATTAAATTCTTAATTAAAATGCTTGCATGTGTATTCCAGGGCTTATTTAAAACTAACTTACCACTAGGGGGAGGCATTTTGCCTCCTAGAACTATCCCTGTGCACCGCAGAAATAAGTCTTCTGCAGGTTACTGTCCTCAAGTGCCTGACCTGTTCTGCTGGACAGTGTGACTGTAGCTCTGCCTCCTCCCTGCCACATTTGTGGTATGCTTGAGCACTACCTCTCACAAGTGGATAACCACAAAAGGAGTAGGCTCTCTTTTAGGGTTTTAGTATTCTTTACTACTGTGTACAGTAGGCATCACACATAGTTAAGTTTTTGTACAATAGGACAAAATGGAAGTACTGCATGCAGTGTAAGTTGCCTGATTCTATTTTCAAGTGCTTATAATTTTTCCAAACTTAATTTTAGCTGAACATCTTGGGAAAACGTCAATCAAAATGTTTCAGCCAAGTCTACAAGTAAGGTTAGGGAAAATGTTTTTGCTCTTTATTTTTATTTTTTACACCTGTTTTTTCTAAACGTCCTGCTGATATCATATTTTGGAGCAGGGATCATATATTTATCAGAGGTGCTGCCTTCACTTTTGGGGTGCACATTTTCTTAGTCCCATGAGAAATCTGCCTCAATTAACTCAAATTATGAGACTATGGCTACTGACAAATGCTAATTTACTTGTGCAATTGAGATCTAACGATTTTTATGCCGGATCCCAAAAATCAAGCTTTCTGCCATAGAAGGTCTTAATTTATGGTGTTAATCATATCATACGCATGCTCTGTCTCCTCCTCAGCTCCTGTGTGCTGACTAGACTGACTAGCCTAAGGCTGCAATGGCTGGACAGAACTGTCTCTACATTTTCTCCTCCTAACTCCCAAGAACCCTTGTACAGCTTGGCACTGGAACTATGGGCAAGGAGACTGTCTCCCTCTGCTCTGTGTTTGAAGAAGCAGCCTGATTACAAAGCAAATGCAAAAACAAGGTGAACCAAGGTAGGAAAAGAGCAGCCTAGGACTGTGAGGGAGTTGGAAGACAGCACCAGATAAGGAATCTTGTGGATGGGGGAGAGGACTCAGGGTGGGCAAATGGACTTGGACAGAGACTGGCAGGGAGACTGGGACCAGAACCCAGAGGGGTAAAGACTTGGACTGGGGAGCCCAGAGAGGTTCCATTTTGCCTGATACTCTGTTTGTGCAGAAAACAGATATATAAAAAATAAAAACAGTAAACAGCATATTTTCTCCTAACCTTACTTTCAGAATTGGCTGATTAGATTGTAGGGGAAAAGATGGGTGGTCATGTAATTAAAGACTGGATCGTAAAGCATGCAAATGAGACGGCTACATTAAGATTACACAGGGAAACTTAGTTCTGCATTTCTTAACTTCTGAGTGCCTCACTTTGCTATCTTAATACTTTTCTAATATAGGTGTGTGTATATGTGTAGTAAGTATTTATGCTGAGCGCAGGGGTAAATATACTCATTGCTTTTCTTTTTCTCCCCTAAAACTATTGTGAGAACACTGCTAGCTGAATTCCCATTTCTACCAAATTCACTATGTGCCTGTGCAGCAAATGTAAAATTAATTTAAATTGGCTGGCAACCCTTCTTTAGATAATTTCCCCAGTGTTGCTAATGTCAAACAGGCAGAAATGACTTCACTCTTCCTACTCTTCCCCGTCCTCTGCTTGTTCCACCACGTCTGTCATCACTAGAGATCCAGCATTGCCTCAGGTAAAGACAGCAAGGAACCTTATTTTTAGAGTGTAGAGGTAGAGGATTGGGCAAGAGAATGATTCTGGTGGAAAGAAGTTCCATTTCGCTCTGCTCATGCAAGTCAAAACTCTAGTGGAGATTCAGGTTTAACTTAAAACAGGGGTGGTCAGACAGGAACAAAGAACTACAACTTAAACACTGTTACCTCTTCATCTCCTCTGCACCAGAACTCTGTGCAAGTAGAGTGAAGAAATCAGCACTGTATATTTTTGGATAACATAACAAAAGTTCTAGAGTCCCTGGACCAAGTTCTCTGTTATTAAAGTCAATGGGATTTTTTCCAATCTTCAAAGTTTGCACAGTCAGTTCCGTAATAGCATGCAACTCCTGGCCCTCCCACCAAAGTGTTGTTGCGTTTTCACAGACCTAACTCTAATGCTAAACCTTGTTCAAAAGATTCCTTGTTAAGAAGGCTCCGATTTGCATCCTCTCAGAAAAACCCACATATTTATGGGGACTTGAAAGGTCAACGACTCTAGACTGGTGCTGTTCTCGTAAAAAACATGGTTTATGTTCTCAGGTGCCCATCTCTATATGAATGCCTCCATGCATTTTTACAGGTGCAAGCATTTATGCCTGTAATTTCTGAATGCATAATATAGTAGATCAAGTCTGGAAATTTTGCTGGTACCCTCATCTCTCTGGTTAGGGAAGTCCTGTTTGCCTAAAGGTTTTGAGCTCAGTTACTGGTTGTTTGATCACTTCATGATGGAGTATTAAATGCACTTGATTATGATGCAATAATGCAAGAGAATGGATGGTATCCAGCACTTTATAAACAAGTAATTTATAAACAGGCTTCCTGCTTTTCTGCCTCAGTAATGAAATTGTGATTGTGACCAGATGTGCAAGGTCTATTTTAGTTTATCACAGTGTCTTTGGTAGCAAAGGAATTCTAGCAAGCTGTCACTAGGCACACACAAAAGCACTTCAAATAATGTTACATAGTCATAGTCTGGCATGCTGAAGAGAAATTAATTTTCTTCAACTTACCAAGCAAATTTAACATTCCTGTTTTTCCTGTATACTTGTAAGAGTTTTTGAGAGGAAAGAACACAGATAAAAAGAAGATAAAATAAGTGTCAGAAGAAATGGAACATTTTAGATTGACAGCTAAAGAGCTCATTCTGAAGTAGTATTAGTAATCTCTCCACAAATCACATTGCCCTGTAATATGTTTAAGGATTCAAAATCTCAAAAAAGGGATTTGATAAATATAGGCTTTCATAAAGCTTGCATATTATGTCAGTTGGTGAGAAGATATTTTTCAGTGATTGGCCCATAGAATCAGGTCAAAGTTTATCTGCCTTCCAACCACTAAACCATTTGAACAAGATGCGATTGTTAATCATTCAAAAGAGGCCCAGGAAGCCTATAAGTGAAGAAAGATTGTAAAACAGGACAGTAGTACACCCAGAATGATATAAACAGTTGAGTGTTCCTTCCTGAACTATAATATGTCTGGTTTCAATTAACACTCTAATCATCTCATTATAATTGCCATAGCATGTAGTCAAGTCAGCCAATTTTATGAAAAAAATGTAAGAGCTTAAATATCTAAATGATCTATAAAATGTACCTTTAAAATTGTACTTCATTTGCTATGAGCATTTTTACAATACTTAAAACACAGAAATTAACAGTCTCTAATACAATATGATTTAAAAAGAAATATATTGTAATCAGTTATTTTATGTATTACTTCTAACATGCCTAAAAATACTGTAATTGCCACAGAACTATAAAACATTCTTCCTAATGATGAATTACACAGATGGCTCGTATTTATTTCAAGTACATATAAAGCACTGTCACGTTCTATCTAAATATTTAATGTATAACCTATAAATTGCAAGAAGGGAGAGGTCATGGTTGCATGTGGCAGACAAGGAGAAGTTATGGGTTTATCAGTTCTCTGATGCCAATGTGCAAGAACAGCACACAGCTTGGTTGAACTTCTTGGGGTAGAGATCATGGGGATATAGTTGATAACCAAGACCCTATCAACTGAAAAGCAGGTGATTTAGGCACAGAGACAGTAATTTTACTTGCAGGTGGAAGACAATATTTAAACTTAGCCTAAAAAAGCTATAGTGGAGCATTTTCATTAAGTGAGCTATTGAACTGTATCAAGACCAGACAGGGGCAAAAGCTAGAGGAAAAAGTATTTCTGGGAAAGAAGAGGCAGCATATTCTACCACAAGCCCTTCTTCTGGACCAGTAATTCTCAACAATGGTGCCACAAGATGCTTTTTATGGATGCCACAGAGTGCCCCACTATGTTAGTACTGTTAGGTGTGCAAACACCTACCCATAATCCACAAGTTAAACCCAAGGATGTCAAATAGGAATAAAAAAAATTCTGACCTGCTGCAGTCTTTCTGAGTTCTTTGCTACAAAAGAATTTCTCTGTTATTTTTCTCTAGTCAAAAAATGAGTGAAAGCTAAGAGCTGGTATTTTCTGACAGGTGCCTTGAATCTCATGAGGATTGCCTGAAGTCTAAAAGGGTTGAGAACCACTGTTCTAGACATATGCTGTTTTAACCATCTTAACTAGAATCCTGTGTGTAATTAATCAATAATTCATTACTGTTACGTTATAACTGAATATCTTACCAGAACTGTCATATGCATCAATACTAAAGTCAGATTTCCTGTCATCCATCACATGGTCATAAGTGATGTGTGGTACAGTTAATATTTTATCAGGGGAAGATGGTCCATTGTCCTTCTCTAGCTTAAACTTCTTCTTTTTCACCTAAAAAATGAATACAAATTAGATCGGGGTTGGACTAGATGACCTCTGGAGGTCCGTTCCAGCCCTATTTCTCTATGACTATATGTGATTATATGACTATAAGACTTCTTGGACCAACTCTAATTAAAGTGCCCCACCGCCCCCACCTCCTGGAGCATGTGTATAAATGCCCATAAATAACAAACAAGCTTAATTAGAGGATAACCAGATCAAAGAGATTCTCACCATTTGTATTCACTAACACCCTCCACTCATGATAATTTTTACAAAAGTTGGAAATTAATCCCAGCACCCTGGACCAATTCCAAGTTGAATAATGGCATTCTGCTCACCTATATCCGCCCCCTGCAGTTTCTGTTAAATTAAAATATTCACTTTCACTATCTGTGTGTAACAGAGTGGTTTGTCCCTTGCAAGAGAAGCAGAGCCTCGGACAGATGAACCCAGTTCCAAACCATGGCCTTTTACTCATAAATGTTCTGTTGGAGGATCAGCCATCAAACTAGGAACGGGGGAGGGGGTGGGGAACTGGTATTTTCACCAGGGCTATGGACAGACATTTAAAAAGCCAGAGCCTGAATTGATTCAATCTTTGCAGGTTAGTCTAACCTGCCTAGATTGAACCAATTTGGAAGTGAACAGACATTTCCTCTGAACAGAGGAAATCCAGGCACAAGCCTGTAGTGGCTCAGGCCAGGAGCCAGTGGACACTAGAGTGCACCCTCAGCTGCAGGGAAGCTGTGCTGGGGGGGGGACATGGCTAGCCCTGGTGGTAGCTTGAAGTGAACTGGGCAGGAAGGGGGTTTAATTCCCTCCTCCCTATCTGGACCCAAACCAGAGTCCGCCAGGTGCTCCCCCTTCACTGCCGTAGTGGCAGGTGTGGGGGCATGCCAGATGCCAGCCAGCATGACCCCTGGAGGCATAGGGGGCAGTGAGGGGGTTTATTCCCAACTCCATCCCCTCTTCCCCCAGGAGACCACAGGGGGGCCTTCCCCTCCCCGACCACCACGACCGATCGCTCCCTGCATCAAGGCAAGCAGTGGGATAACCTCCCTCCCTGCCACCTCTGTCAGATGCTGGGGCAAGCAGTGACACCAGTGCTTGGAAGGGTGGCCATAGCCCCTAAGACCCATTGCCACTCACCCTATGCAGTCTGTAGCAGCTCTGCCTGTCCCACTCCTGCCCACAGTGTTCCCCCCCCCGTCAGGAAGAGCCTTGCGCTCTGGAAAGCCATAAGAGGGGCTGAAGCCCCTGTCACAGTCACTCCCCCCTCACCATTCCAGCAGCAGGGGTGGGGGCGTGGCCAGAGGCTGCCTGGCATGGCACCCTTAGGTGAAGGGGCAGGGATGGACGTTATTCCCCCCTCCCTTTGGCATCTGGCTGAAGGGGCAGGGAGAGGGCTTATGCTGCTGCTCGCCCCATGCAGGTGATCAGCAGTGGTGGTCAGGGTGGGCAGATCCTGCTGCAGTCCCCCCCCGGGCAGAGGGTGGAGGAGGAAATAAACCTTCTCCCTGCCCCCTCTGCCTTACGGAGTTACGCTGGCCAGCATCTGGCCACACCCCTGACCCTGCTGCTGCAGCAGCAAGTGGGGAGCGCCAGGGAGACCCCAGCTTAGGTCCAGACAGGGAAGGAGGAATTAAACCCCCTCTCTGGCCAGTTCACTTCAGGCAACTGCTGGGGCTGGCCACACCCCTGCCACTGGAGCAGTGAGGGAGAAATGCCTGGCAGGTCCACGCTGGTGGGACAGGGGAGGGAGGGAGAATAAATTTCTTCCCTGCCCCCTTTGCCTTAGGGGGGGCCGGAGGTGGTCCAAACCCCCACCCCTGCCCACCTGTGCTGCAAAGGTGGGGCCAGCCCTGCTCCACTGGAGCAGAGAGCTTAGCCCCACCCAGGGCGGCAGAGCATCCTAGAATGCTGGGAGACTCTGGTTTAACTTAAACCAGGAAGGGGTCTGAGGGAGAAGTTTGGCTTGAGCTCAATCAGTCTGATACTACTTTCAACTAGGTTTACTTCTAACCGGTTTCAGGCATTTTGGAACTGGTTTATGTGCAACTTCTGTTCCTAGCCCAGGTGACCACGATGTCTCATGTAAAGTAGCCAACTTGCGGGATGATTAGCAAATTAGCTCAGGCAGAATGGAACTCAGCATTGGCTAATTTGCCCTCCCAAGAAACTGCATAAATGAATCTGCTCTGAGTGTCATACTGCTGCAGCTAGACTGCTACTAGTATCCACACTGAGTGACTGTAGTATGGACATGCTCTGACTCAACTTTCAGAATGAGAGTAGGAGCACCAACCAGTCTACAGTCCAGAGAAACTTGGAGGGAGTAGAATCCAGACCCTAACTTTTTCCTAAATTTTGAGTGATTGATTTTCCTAAATTAAATATAATATATTTACAGTTATACATTTAATATACCTTTTCTATGTAAATTATATATACTATTTGACAAGAATCCAAATTTGAACATCAGATCCTTGAAACTGGAAGCAGTTCAGAACCAGATCTGAATAGGTTCAGGTCTTTTATATCAATTGGAAGTTGGCAATTGCAGACTGAACTGAGAAAAGATTTGGGGTTCAAGGCTGAATGCTGACTAGCATTCAGATTAGGTAGTGTTGACTGTTCTGGTGGCATATCAGACTAAAATAATGGAAACCTTGCAAAATTGCTTCTTAGATTTTAGCTGTATTCAAACCATAACCTTAAAGTAGGCCTCTGTTAATTACAACCAAAGCTACAGAGGCAAGATTCAGTGGGTTATCACTGAGGACTGAATCTTACCCCTCTGAAATTGGAGAGGTTCTAATTTCAGGGTAAGGCCTCTCCTAAGAGACCAGCCTTTTTCCCATATAACCCAACCCCAAATATAACACACCCTATTTTTGGAAGGCCAAGGAAGAAAAAGAGATCTTACCTAGAAGTACAAGTAAGTACCTGGGGTCTGGGATCTCTGGGACTAGGGGCCATTTGCTGGGGCTTGAGGCTTGGGAGCCACTGGTTGCATGCTGGAGCTGGGAATCAGGGCTAGAGGACTGAGAGCTGGGGGCTACACAATGGGGACTTGGGGACTGGAGGCCACATGCTGCGCCTAGGGGCTTTGAGGCTGTGCTCTGGAGCTGGGAGCTTGAGGGCTGGGGGCAACACACTGGGGGCTTGGGACCAGGTGCCAAATGTCACATACCAGGACTGTGGGACCATGAGTAGGGGGCTTGAGAGCTGTGCACCAAAACTGGGGGCTTGGGATTTGAGTGCTGCATGCTGGGACTGGGGAACTGTGGAGCAGGGACCACATGCTTGGAGCACTGGGACTGGGAGTTTGGAGGCAGTGTGGCAGGGCCCAATCTGGCCATGGTGATGCCAGGGCCACATGGCAGTGCTAGGTCCAATTCAGCCACAGTGCAACTGGGGGCTATTTGATGGGGACTGATTCACTTGCACCTACCCCTGGAGGCCACATGGTGGGGTTGGGTCTAATTTGAATATGGCAGTACTGGGGGCCGTGTAGCAGGATAGGCCCAATCAGGCCATGGCAGCACTCGAGGCCATGCAGTGGGTCCAATTCTGCCACAGGCCAAGCACGTGCTCTAGCCCATCAGTTCTCAACCTTTTGCACCTACATCCAACCTACATAAGGGCAAAAAATCCCAGTCCAACCAGTCGATGAGTGGGAGGGGGGCGTCCCCCAGTGGCCAATTGAAGCATGCCAAATCAAAACCGGAAGTCCCACCGTGGCACTTCTGGTTTTACTGCCATGACCTGAGTCCCACCAGTGGGATGCATCCCACTGGTTGAGAAACCCTGCTCTAGCCTGTTCCCGCATGTTGCTGGGGTGGGAAGCTTCCCATGGTTCCAGACACTTGACAGCAGGGCAAGGGGCTAGGAGGGGTGTGCAAAGCGGTGGCAGAGTTTATTGGCTGTGGCTCTGAGAGCCACAGCATTTAATGATGCAGCTGTTCTGCCTCTCCCTCCACCCCTGCCACCAAGTGCCCAAATTCATGGGGGGCCTTTTCCTCATATGCAACACAATTTTCCCCAGTTTGGGGAGTAGGTTATATGTGAGAATATATAGTAGGTGTTTGTCCCTTCAAAGTTAGGAAGGCCAAGAACACAGGACCTTTTTGCTCTGAAAGCATGGTCCACAAAGCAGACATCATTTTTTCTTTCCAAATTTCATCCAAATCATGTTCAGTAGGACTCAGTTCCTCACCTAGCAAGTTATTCATTATATTTATACTGTATATAAATAGTTGTGAATCTTTAACTACATATATGCTTCAGGCCTAAGTGGTCCCAAAGGACCTATGTATTTGTACACAAGATGTTATTATCAAATGATAGGTTAAACCATAAAAATAATATGTGATCAGCAGCACAGGTTTGTTTATTTTTTACCAATGCAAGTTCCTTCACTGAAAGTTTGTATGTACCTTCCTGTTGCTCATTTTCAGCATTATACATTCAGTTACTGATTGACTGAAGTGAGTTATACTACTGCTGCTCCCTCCCCAAACTTGACACCCATCAAAATCAAATTAGTGAATCACAGCAAATTAAGCTATAGTTATAAATGCTTTATGAAGAAAATCACAATGCTGATATGAAAGTGAAGCTTTAAGACCAAGTAACATCCTGAAATACAAATACAGTTCACTGTTTTTGGAAAAAAAGCAGATTCAATATAATCTGTATAAACATATTAATGGAACTACCAAAATAAGAAAGAAAATCAAGATTAGTTACCGATACCATTACAGATTTCTTTGGTTTTGGACTTGGTGACATCAAATGATAGTTCCTAGCAGGTTTTCTTATGTATATTTTCCACGTAGAAGAATCTGGGTTTTCTGCTGCATAACACCTCCACGCAGTCTAAAATAGTTGTTAGCAAAATAATTACTATAATAAATTATTTGTTACAGTTTTTTGTTAAAATGCAAATTCTGCAATTTCCTCTCTACAAATGTAGAGTAGTTTGCCATTTGAAATTTTTGTGGAAAATCCTCATTTAGTAACTTAAATCCTACTAGTTTGAAACAGTTTTATAACGATAAAAAAGGGAGAAAATCTTTTTTTAAGCATATCATTTACTTGCAATAGGTTAAATCAGGAAAGGAAGGACTACCTAGACAGTACAACTCTGGGACTCAATCAGGCCCTGTGTGATCCTGGATATACCACTTTCTGTTCTTTATGTCCCTATTTGTAAAATAGGAATAAAACTTTCCTGCCTCGCTGATATGTTGTTAAGAAAAAGAAATCATTGATCCTTGCGAGTCACTAGCACTAGATATAATAAACAGACAGTACAGTGAAAGAGGGGCCAATCCTACTGGGTTGTGATTTCTCAGAGGCTAAACAGAAATTTCTCTCACAGAAATAGCCAAACTATTCTATATAGGCAGGCTGAGGAGTTTCCCTAGTGTACTCTGCACACACAGCACAAAATAAGATACAGGTCAAGTAATAAAATCTCACACCAACTTGCCCTGGGAGGCATTGCTTTCCTCAATTTTAGGGCTTACCAAAGATACTGATATATTTAAGCCAAAATATTCAAGAGTGGGTGCTTAAAATTAGGCAACTACGCTCCCAATTAGTCAGAGGGAGCTCAAACCTTTGAAAGTCAGGCTTCTCATATAAGCAGTACCCTAGGCACCCAATTCTTTAATGGTAGGCATCCAAATGGTCCAGTGGCCCAATTTTCATGGAAGTTAGCATCTTCCAGTCCCAATTCCTAAGTATGAGGACACAGGCAGCTATTTTGAGCACCCAAGTCTGAAAATGTAAGCCTCGTTCCATAAGATGGGTACAACAGAACTGCAGCCAAGAAATATGTATACATCTCAAGGTACTAAAGCCATGCAAGGTTAAGCTGTAAGATAAGGGAAAGCACTGTGGTTGCCTACAGACATTTAGGGCCCACATTCTAACACACGGTGCTTTATACAAAGCACTATAAGTTAGAGATCACCCCCCACCCCCAGACCTAACAGACATTCACCTGTTGAGGCAGACCACCTTGGCCAGCCAGCAGTACTCTAGCAGTCTCCAAAATGTCCCTCTCCCCAGCCCCACCCCATCTCATCTCCAGCCACAACAAAGCCAAGCTGGCATCTCCTTCTTTATTCTTTCAGGGTCAAGAGGCTTGAGTGGGAGGCAGAGGAAGGGAGCCCTCCCACACCTGGCTTGAGCCTCTTGACAGCAGCAACAAGCAGTTGCCAGCTCAACTTTGCCATAGCTAGAGCTGTGAGGGGAGGGGTGAAACGGAGCATCCTCGACTTGTGGACCCCCCAAGCTTCCCCAGCTGGGGTACTGGGGGAAGCCAGGCTGGGCCCACGAGATGAGCGTGGCTCCCTTCCCCCACCCCCTGCACAGACCTCTTGGCAGCTGCCACCTGGGATTTGCTGTGGCCAGAGCTGGGGGTGTGAGATGGGGTGGAATGGAGCCCTCTTACCTCACAAGCCCAGCCCAGCTCCCCATTCCAGCCTGCCACCCCTCATCCAGCTCCAGCCATGGCAAACCTCAGCCAGCAGCTGCATGTTGCCCCCTCCTCTTCCCTAAGGCACTCTGCTCTACAGCAACTTCATCTAATAGTTGATTTATCCAAGGTTGAATTTTCACAATTGTCGATTTTAAAAGCACTCTGCATCTGTGAACATGTGTTATGTCACAGTTATAGAGAGCTTTCAGAGGCCAGATCACACAAATAAAGTAACTTATGTAAACACCCTATAAAGCACAGGCCTTAAGATATGACTAAAATAAATAAACTTGTTATTTTTCTAAGATCTTCCATCAGTCTAATTTCAGTGTTTGACTGCATCTTATTTCTGTTGCCACAGCCTTTAAGCCAGGAGTCAGCACCTCACACAGCTCAGAATTCTTTAAAGCAATCACCTCGGGCCCCTTGCTTTGAGAACAGGCCCTAGCTTTATGAAGGAAAAGAATAAAGGAGGGCAGCACTAGAGAATATCAGAAGTCTAAGGTAGGGAAGAAAATGAAGGGAAGTGAATACAGGAAGTTGGAAAATAAAGAATCTAATGGTCCACCTGAGGGATGAATAAAATTTCCATTAACAGGGTTGTGAATTGTATACAGATGTTAAGGAATATATTGTCTCTATGGGGGAGCAGGAAAGAAGACAGAGGAAAAAAACTAATTTCAACTGTTTTGTCTTGCCTTTAGATAGTCAACATCTGAATAAGTCTGCTTTTTGCAGGAATGGTCCTGTTTAGCCAGACCACAGATTAAATTCCCTATTCCACTACACTTTTGTAACAACTCCTGTTCATACCTCTTCACTCCTAGTTCAAAGCCCTCTTCCATCCAAGCAGACGCTTTTCATTTCCATAGAAACTTTTCTTTGATTTAGCTGAGCCGGAATCTACTTCTCCTTCCAATCTGAGGATAGGCACCTGATGCCGAAAAACTTGTCCAACAGCTCTCCTAACTATATGGTTGGTCCAATAAAGATATTACTAAGAAGCCTTGCTTCTCAAACTGTGCTACAACCAAATCCCTAGATTTAAACCATCTCCTGCATTAATCTTTGGATTCCTCAGATTATGGTCCAAATGTACAGCTAACTTGCTCTTTCTATAAAGGAACTCAGCTGGGACTCCAAATTTGGGCACTGCTGAATTTAGAAAAGTTCATATGTACATGAAAATTGCATGGCTCTGGTGCTGGTCTACATTTCTCTTGTGCTCTGTCTCCTTTATCCAAAATCATTTAAGTTTCCAATGTCTGATAAGGACATCAAAATAAGGAAATGCAGCTAGGAAGCAGTAACAATTCAAAAATACTAGTATTTACCTTGGGTGAAATCCTGGCCCCATGGAAGTCAGTTCCAAAACTCTCATAGCCTCCACTGGAGCCAGTATTTAACCCTATAGTTCTACCAGAAATAATATCTGGGTCTTGCATCTACAAGAGTATCTAAATGTTACATGGCAATCTCCCCTCAGAGCAGAATTTTTTTAAAATAAAATTTTGCTTTGGTTCTTGTGTCATGATTTTTTTTTTAAGTTTGTACCAAAAGAAAACTTGGCATATTTGACTTTGCTCAGATTCAGATCAAGATTTTTCTGAAAAGAAAAAAAAATGCTTTCAGTGGAAACGAGGTATGAATTCCTGTTGATCTCTTATTTCAGTAAAGAAAGATCAAACAACAGTACTAGTGTTCATTCTGACACAACTCATATCAAACCATCAGCACCTCCAAGAAATTTGTAACAGTGGGTGCCTACACACATGCAGTGAGGCTGCTCTGACATGCTGTAATTACAGCATGTCATAGCAGACTCAATTAATCGAGTCTGCTGGAGCGTGGCGCTGCACTGAAAATGGCGGCGGGGTGCTTTAACTAAAGCTCACCTAATAAGCTTTAGTTAAAGCACCTCTGCCACCATTTTTCAGCATGGGGATGCTGATACACGTGATACTCTGGGCACTTTAATTAGAGTGGCTCTCTGAGCTGCTTTAATTAAACAACCCTCCTGGAGCACATGTATAAATGCCCAGGGGATTTAAACCACATGCTACACTTTGAAAATGAAGATTCCCAATTGCTCTGTCCATAATTTGTACACTTTGGGCAGGAATGTCATGCAACTACCTAAAAGACTTGCACTCCCAATTCCCAAATAATTTTTTAAAGGGGACTGGTTGTAGAAATCCCTTGGGCAGCTTTGAAAACATGAACCTAAATTGAAAGGGCAAATGTAAGAACTGCAATGTAGAAGCCTGGGTACCTGAATGAGGGAGGCAGCGGCTGGAATTTGACGGTTAAAGTGCTTCTGCCTTTGTTTCTGTTGCACCTTTAGGGCAAAACCTGAACCGAGAATTCCCTGTGGAAAGAAAGAAAAAACAAAGATCTCATTTTTAGAAGGAAAAAAATATATCAACACCCTGGCTAAATTACTTCATATTAATATAAGTTTTATTCAACATCATAAAACAACCAAACTAATTATTTAGAGGAAGTGACTTAATAGTGCAGTAGTTTTAAGTCACGATTGGCATTACTTCTCAAAGCATAAAAGGTTAGCGCTATTGCAGCCCGATTCAAGTCTGTAGTGTTTCTGTCAGAGTCTGTAGGACCCTTTCTATTGACTTCAACAGTCTATAGCTCAAATAGCTAGTGAATTGGCATACATGGTATTGCTCACAGTCTGAAAACCACATAAATGCTTGTGTGAGAAAATAGTAGAATCTGGGAAAGTACTTGAACCTTGGCTTGCCTAACTTTCAATGTAATGAAAAGTCATTTATAGATGTTCTACAGTTTGAGGTCATGAGCAAACTTTTACTGCATTGGGTTTAGAAAATTTGGTCCCATGGTTCTCACCAATGACAGCAACATAGAGACTAGTGTTGATAGGCCACAGTTGCGTTTATCTGCATATCATCTGACGCCCCTCAGACGCAAATGATCAAATGGAGGGTTTTTTCATACATGCCTTCATCATCCATGTAAGTTGAGATGCTCAGGTACCTTTTCAGGCCCAAATGGGGGAACTCATGTACCTAGGCACATACATGTTTTTGTAGCTCATCTGATGGAGAGGAGTTAATCTAGTGTTTAGTAACTGACCAGTCAAAAAGTGCTTAGTTAAGTGACTTAGCCAATACTGTCAAATAATAGTAAAATATTTAAGCTTTAATTTATTAGAGCAGTGAAGAGAGAGGCTTTAATCTCTAGTCAGTTAGATACTTATGATAATTATCAAAAAGAATTGAGATAACTATTCTTGTGAAACACTAGTTTAAATTCTAAAAAACTCTCATGAAACTTTATAACTATGAATATTAGGTAAGCGTAAATGTGAATAATATTCAAGACTGAACAAATTTCTTTTTCCTTGGCTTTTATCCCAACACACCACCAAAAATAAAATACCCACAGCAACTATAAAAGACAATATCCTAAACCACCTCTAAAGTGCTTAAAACTGAATTAAGTGAAATGTAGGCACCCAAGTCACAAAGAGAGATCCAAATTCACCTTCATTGACCATAAAACCACTCAGGCACATAAATTCATTAGATATCTCCATCTTGGCCGCAAAGCCCCTTAGGAGGCTAGGCTTGGACTATTGCTCATGCTCTGAAGCAGCCCAGGTCACTTGTTTAAGACTTTTTGAGCCAGACTGGAAGCAGTGGCCATGGAGGAAGGCATGCAAAGCTATGGAATGGAGTTCCTGCTGCCTGACTGGGATAACTCAGCTACAGAGAACTGGGGAGAAACTATAAAAAGAGGCAAAGCAGCCTACTGATGAGACTGGTAGGTGGAGAGAAAGAATTAAATTAGAAAAGATTCAAGTTTGGTTTTTTTTGGTGGGGGGAGGGGTTCTTGTTTTTGGTTGGTGTTTTGTTTTGTTTTTTTGCCATCCTGGGGGCAGACCTTCATGTTGTTTATTTAATTTATTTCAATACAATCAAAACAAATGCTTTAAAATAAACAGTGATTTTATCTGTCAAAATTATAAAAAAATAAAAATGGAATTCTTCCAACACCAATCATAACAGAGCTTAGGTGTGAGTTAAGCCTCTAAATGGCTGATCATCAGGATCACTTCTGATCAGACACAGTAGCCTAAGCCAAGATGCTTAGGTATCTTTTCAGGCCAATATGGAGGCACCTCATGAATCTAGTTACATAAGTGTTTTTTGAAGCTCAGCTGCTGTAGTGAAAATAATCTGGATTGCTCTTTGTTATGTAGGCAGCTAAATTCCACCAAACCTTCTTTAGTCACTTACGAGTTTGATTTGATCTGTCCCTTAATCCTTTCAAAGCCATGTACAGAAATGTCTATACACTTCTAAATATTTTGGGCCTACATATCCTGATTTAATAGGGAACTAAAGTATATGTTTAAATTCAACCTTATTCAACAAAGTGCTTAGCAAAAGCTTAAAATGTGTTTGATGTCTCAGGGAATTAAAAGCTAAATCAATCTTATCACACTCACGGAAAGCGTAATCATTAAAGCAATTAACATATACATTACTTAATTTAACACCTCTCAAATCAGCAGAAAATGTTTTTCCAGTATAAAATTTCATTTTCAGGCTGAAACATCCATTTCTCAAAATATTCTAGCAAATACAATTCTTACATAAAACTAAACACAAGAAAGGCTGCTTTTTATCTACTTAAGATATTATAAAAGTATGCAGAGGAATTGAAACTTATTCATAAAATATGCATTTATTAATCCATTCAAAAATAAACTGTCAGTAATAAGATAAAAGAACATACCGCAGGAAGGGCAAAGAATGAAATAGCAAAAACTGAAAAACAAGAAGCAATGGTCTTTCCTATCCAAGTCTGAGGCACCTTATCCCCATAACCAATAGTCGTAACAGTCACCTATAAAGAAAAATACATATTGCATTATCAGCAAACATAAATGTTGTTCTCATCAGACATTTTTACATGAACACTCAGTGTGTTACTGTTAAACTTGTAGAATTATGCACAAGTCTAATTTTACCACCGAAATCTTACTTCACCAGTCAAACTGAAGAAAAATGAAAAAAAATGAGTAATTATTACATCAGGTCCACATGAAACATTCCCCCCCACCCTTCCCCTTTACTTTGGTAAAATCAAAAACTGAAAAGATTATTCTGTTTCAACTATTCTAACAGTTCCAGTTACCAAATGTTCTCAGACAGCAACTCTTTTAATTCTGAACAGACCCCAGGACCAGACCCTAGATACTAGGGTACTGGTTATATTTTGATTTACCCCACTATTTGCATAACCTTAGGAAAATTAATTCACTCCCCCTTGTGCAAAAAAAGTACAGGAAATTGAATTACAATAAAGTATATGTACATTGTAAAGTAAAAATATTAATTTAGGTTGTCACGACTTGGAAAGCATTAGAGTACATGAAATTGCTGGGACATGGGTTAGCGGCCAGCCCAGTTCAGAATTGCTGATTTTATGTATGTGCAAGAGATATTTGCTAAGGCTATAACATTACTATTACATCTGAAGGACACACACAGTGAACCTGTATGCGACTACAGGGGTCAATTATAAAATACATTAGAGCTTAGTATTAATGGAAATTGTCATGGCAAAAGTTGAGCAATTTCATAGAGAAATTGAGCAAAACAGATTAACAAATCCTTAAAAATGCAGCCTGTTCAATGAATTACTAAATTTGCACGTCAGCAGCAAATACAGACAGCTTAATTTACAACACGGAGGAAATACCTGTAAAGTTAGGTTTTCAAGACATGGATGTGAAGATTACCACAATACCTATGCAGTATAACAAGGTTTATTGAGGCTGTACTGAGTCATTATTTACAGGAAACTGAGGCTTTCTTCCATGCCCTCCAGCACTAAGAGAATCTGCTATAACAACAAAAGTATGGTAGGTGTAAACTCCATCTCCAAGATCAGTTAAAATTTACACAAAGCATTTCCAAGTTTGGAATTCTGGCCAGTTGGGTGGCTAATTTTATTCAGAGGCAAATGGTAAACTGGATGTGGCACTGGATTGGGGCACTGGAGACACATATTCAAATCCAAGATCTTTCACTCGCTCAAGCAATTACCCTCTGTAAGTTGCTTTACTTGTGCCTTGCCTCCCCTCCTACTGTGTTTTAATTTTTTAGATAATTTTTTCAAGGGATGGAAAGCCTGGCTTGAGGCCCTTGCCCATCTTTGATAATGCTCCTGTTATAAGGCAGGAATGAGTTGGTGGATGTGACACAGCAATCTCAAACAAGAGGTCAGGTTCCCCTCGGTTCTGCCCTGCACATTCTTTTGCATCTTGTATATATACTTATGACCAGTATTAGGTAGGGTAGGAAGCAGCCTAGGAAAGATGCCACAGTTTTATTTTGTTAAAAAAAAAGGGGGGG